TCATCTGAGGACAGTCAAAAGAAGTAACAACTAAAATGGAGAGCACATTGAACGCGAAGAAAAATTAATGACAAATCGTGATGTTGACGTTCCACACTACATGAAACAAAAGGCGAGGATGGAAACCACTATTTATACTGGAAAGAACGATAAGAGTTAGCAGACTTGAGAAATCTATTTTATTGAAAATTATTAGAAGAGTAAAATTTTATAAATTTACCGGGTCTAGAACTGGTTGCTTGGTCAATAAATGTATTGCTGGTAATATTTTTTTTCTTCAAAAATTTATTGCTGGTAATAATTTTTTTTCTTCAAAAATTAATTGCTGATAATAATTTTCTAGAAATATTTCTGGTATTAAAACGTATTTTTACACTTTCATAGTGTTTTTACCCCAGCTTAGTAGTTAACTATTTACCCATAACTGGGATCCTTACAGATGTTAATACCAGCAATTACTCAAAACCACCTGAACAGAGGACGTAGTTTATCGTCTTACGCAGGACGCGGATGTAGTTTATCTTCATACCAAGGACGGCCTATATTCAGAATCAGAAAGAGACAGCTGAAATTACTTGGATGCATATAGAGGAAAGACGGTTTGGAAAATATTATCCTCACAGGAAATATCGATGGCAAGAGATATATGGCAAGGTAGCGAGGTCCCTGTCCTACGAACGTGTGTTAATGGATGGAGGAATTAGGACGAGACGTGATACGGCACATAGAATGAGAAGACATGATGATACCTCTTAGAAAAGTTTCCGTTTGATATACTTTATACAGGATAGACAAGTTGGGTGTATTTGTAGAGCTAATTTATTTGAATGGAATATGAAAGAATTCTTTCTAGAATCTATCATTTATTCTGTGAAGCAATTACAGAATATGAATCTCATTCATGACGCCAAACTCTTTTAGAAATACCTAAGCTGTGTTAAATCAGGAAGAAGCAATTGAAATTTCTGAAACACATAATGAAGAAGGAAGGCTTGGAAAATCTGATATTCGCAGGTGAGTTTGACGGAAAGAGAAGCAGATGAAAGCAACGTGTAATATACTTTGAGAGCTTGAGTAAATGGATGGTAGAACAAGTTTTAAGAGAAATAACAAAAAGACAAAACTTATTAAGAGCTCCAGGGGAAGAGAAAGATGTGGAGGGACATAATCGTCTACGTACTGAAGAGACACGGCACATAAAATAAGAAGAAGCCCAGTCTATAGAGTTCTGTTTTTTTCGGCATCTATATTGAGCGGATCTTAGTTACCGTTTCTAGAGGAGAGTGCATAGTGATCATTTTTTTGAATATGGCCAATACGATCAAACTTTCGGCCACAAAGACTCGGAACTTCGTCTTTGTAAAACCATCGACAGCTACCAAACAGTGTGGTCTATCCAGTTTACTTACAAGGGTTGGGTCACCCCGTGGTATTGTTTTTAGGCATTTTCCAGTCGTGGCGCGCACTGGGACCACCTCCTCAGACTGATAGCATCATGAAGTCAAATCGACAAATAAATCGACCAGGCTGCAATTCGAAACGGTGTTTGATGGTCAGAAAGTGAACGTTCTTAACTCTCGGCAACGCGCCCATTAATTCTTGTAGTAAATTAGATATCCATTTTTTTTTCGTTTGCCGAATGAATCATTTTATCCTGTGCCTTTCCTAACTTTTAATAAAATTTCGCAAATCCATTTTTCAGTAACGTTCCTAAACATGTCGAAGACCTTCTCAGACCTTCAAAATCTTCTCAAATCAAATAAGGCGGAATCGTTGTCGGAAGCTATCAGATTCCTGAGAACAACGCCTTTGCGGGACCAAGGTGCGTTGGACAACAAATTCAACTTAAGCTTAATTCAATTTAAAGAAACCAAATTCTTCGAATGTAAATTCTTTGAATGCAAATTTCGCATGGAGATATCTTGAAACAGAAATTAGATAAGAGTTTGAACAAAAATAAAAAAAAAAAAAATATTAAACAATTTTAACGAGTTTAGATTTCTTGAGGTGTAACTATAGAATATCCACGAAAATGAATTATTCAATCATTTAGGCTAAGTCTATAAAACAGCCTGAAAAAAAAATATGGCGATTGTGAAAAAAATGAAAAAAAAAGGAAAGATAAGTGATACATCACCAATGACAACGAAATTGTCTCAGTGACATTTAAGATTCAAACAATTTCAATGATTTTAGCCTTCACTTTTAACATATCAAAATGTAACATTAACAAAAAATTCTAGGCCAATTAATAAACTGCGTAGGTTTTATTCTTCAAATATGATTTTGCTTCATTAAAATAACGTATTGGTGACATTTAGAAAAAAAAAATTCATTTACTTTAAAATAATGTGAAAAGTTGTGTTTAACTAAAAAAGAGTATCAGTTTAAAACTAATATGCTCATTTTGACTAACACCTAGGAAGTCACTGAATTAACAGGCCTAAAGACGAAAGGGATATAGGAGGCTCTTCCTCAATCTAAACAGTATCGTTGATTTTACAAGCATATGATGATAAACTAAAAAACAGACTCGTTTAGACAGATTGATATTCATTCTAATAAACTCAAAACTACAACAATTAATTTTTGTAGGGTTCAACATTTACCCTAACCCTAATCCTAAACCAAAGTTGTGTAAAATATTTTCGGTTGCAGGAAGATAATCGGGGATTTTGCTGAATGGTAAATCTTGCTCTCAAATTCCAGGTGTTTGTAAACTGAAATCGACTTTTATTTTTTTTTTAAATTTAACATAATTGTCTAATATTTAATTTTTTTTAAATATGTATCATCAAGACATAGGCTATCATGGCTATACACCCTTGCCTCTAATCCGTGAATTGTCATGACTTATTGGGAAAGAGTTGTTTCCATTTCCTTCTCCAGATTATTTTACTAGATTGGCTGCCAAACAAGACTACAGGGACCAAGTTTACCCTACTATTTAACACATAGCTGAGAGGAGAAGAGCTGGATTAATGCCATTCTCAATATTTTAAAAAATGTTATGTTCCTTCAGGCGATCAAGTCACTCTACAGATACCTTTATTTATTATATATGAACATACGTGTAAACAGAAATGAACCAGAAAGGAAAAAGCGATCGCAGCATAGATAGATAGATAGATAGATAGATAGATAGATAGATACGCAGACAGACAGACATATAGGAACAGACTGAAATAGATAGATAGATAGATAGATAGGAATAGACAGATATATATATATATATAAATATATATAAACAGATTGATAGTAACAGACTGAGATAGATAAATAAATATAAACTGAGATAGATAGATAGATAGATAGATAGATAGATAGATAGATAGATAGGCATATAGGAACAGACTGGGATAGATAGATAGATAGATAGGCATATAGGAACAGACTGGGATAGATAGATAGATAGATAGATAGATAGATAGATAGATAGGAACAGACTGAGATAAATTAGACTGAGATAGATAGATTAGACTTTGAAATTCAGATGTATTATTTTACTAGACTGGCTGCCAAACAAGTCATCCAAGTTTACCCTACTATTTAACACATAGCTGAGAGGTGATGAGCTGGATTATTGCCATTCTCAATATTTTTAAAAATGTTAGGTTCTTTCAGGCGATCAAGTCTCTCAATAGACACTTTTTATTTATTATTTGTGAATTTTCATAACATTTTGGGAAAGGTAGTGTAGTTGTTTCCCTTTGATTTCTACGTGGTTTTGCGTTCAAAGATATCTTTCTAATAGACTGGTTGCCACCCATGTCTAGAAAGATCAGTTTGTTATTTACTCCATAGCTGAAATGAGAAAACATGATTATTGTTTCTCATTGTCCCAGTGTTTTTTGATTGTGCTGAATTCAAGTTATTCTTGTGGACGAGCTCTCACCCGAAGCCCGGATTGAATTCATTTTTTTCTTCCAGACTAGGCGCCACCCAGAGATAGAAAACCCTGTTTACTTTTCACTAATCGTGCACAACGATACCAAAATTGTGTTTATTCGTCTTTGTTTATGTGCCATAGAAAAAACAAAAACAACAAAAAAAAACAAAAAAAAAAAAAAAAAAACAATGATCAACAAAAATAAAAAAAAATAATAAAAAATAAAAATATAATAAAAAATTTTAACTGCACACACAATAATCGAGACTTGTTTTCTGAAAATTATATATGGACATACGTCTAAACAGAAATGAAGGAGAAAAGAAAAATCGATTGCAGTATTGGAAAACAAAATCTGCCATTTTCTTTCAGTCAAATTTAGCTTGGGGCTTTGTTGAAGCCAACATATATTTGTTATAATTCTTACTTCACTGCATTATCGATGTTCTACGAGAGAAAATAACAACCGTGACGTTCTGTAACCATTAATTCAATTTAAATACGGGTAAATGATATATGGATGTACCCTTTATCTATCAAATTCAAATACCGTATGCAGTAATGGTTGGCAATTTCAATTAAAAAAAAAACCGGTATAATTTTAATAAATTGAAACAAAATAATTGTACCGATGAGATATTTTGTTTTTACTAAAGTTCAATCAATAAAGGCCCAGCAGCCATTTTAAGGTAGGAATGGGACTTTGAGGATATGTAGGAAATCTCGTAGAGTCTCGCGAACTGGCGCTATAGTGTCACAAAGAACTCTATAAAATAACAGAGGACCACATCACTTGATGACTTTCAACAGCAGCAACAATTAAAATGGATAGCATATGTAACTCGAAGAGAAAATAATGACATAATCATGATGTAGATGTTCCAGACTCCATCACACAAGAAAATGGGAAGGAAGCCTCCATCAATACTGGAAAGAGTGAAAAACAGTTAACAGACTCGTGAAACGTATTTTCCTGGGAAAAAATTAATAGAAAGATTTTATAAACTTGAAGTGAATGTAGCACTGGTTGCTTGGTCAATGAATGTCGGTTTTTCTTATCAGGAAATGGCTAATATTACAATTAAAATTACTGTTACTATAGTAATATTATCTAAGTAGCTAGATAGATAGATAGATAGATAGATAGATAGATAGATAGATAGATAGATGAACGGACTGAGATAGATCGATAGATAGATAAGAACAGACTGATATACATAAATAGATAGATAGTAACAGAGATAGATGAATAAATAGATATAAACTGAGATAGATAAATAGATAGATAGATAGATAGATAGATAGATAGGAACCGACTGATATACATAAATAGATCGATAGTAACAGAGATAGATAAATAAATAGATATAAACTGAGATAGATAGATAGATAGATAGATAGATAGATAGATAGATAGATAGATAGATCTGAACAGACTGAGATAGATAGATAGATAGATAGATAGGAACCGACTGATATACATAAATAGATAGATAGTAACAGAGATAGATAAATAAATAGATATAAACTGAGATAGATAGATAGATAGATAGATCTGAACAGACTGAGATAGATAGATAGATAGATAGATAGATAGATAGATAGGAACAGACTGTGATAAATTAGACTGAGATAGATAGATCGACAGACAGATAGGAACACTGGTATAGATAGATAGATTCATGACGCTAACTAATCAAAGTTGTGGTAAAACCAGTACAAACCTTACCAAATGACCATAGAAAATAGAAATAAAAGCCCAAACCAATAAATCAAGACTAATAAATAAAGAAAAAGAAATATGAACTGAGAATGAAAGTGCTCTCTGTCTAAATGAGCAAGACAGAGCAAATATATTACCCACGGACACTACTCAAAAGGAGATATATAGATAGGTAGATATTAGTGACTAATCAGTTATAGAGTAACCCTAAACTTTCTGAAACGTCTTGTTTTTTGTTTTTTTTTACTGTTATGACTCCTTAATTTTTTCAACATTATCATTGTTATAATTTCTTCTTCCTATTTTCTCTTTATTGTTACGATCTGATTCTTTTCATTATAACGTTTTCATTATTAAATCTATCTTCGTTTTTTAATTTTATTTCGTCTCCTCTTCTTATTATAGACTATTTTCTTCTTCTTCTTCTTCTTCTTCTTCTTCTTCTTCTTCTTCTTCTTCTTCTTCTTCTTCTATTATAATTATCGCCCCTTCTTACCCCATTTTATTATTTCATCTTATAATCTTTTTTCGCTAACTCTGTTACTTTAATAACTGTATTACTGTCATGAATATTACAAATGAGATAATTATTCAGGATTTTTTTCTTATGTCTTATTGTTTAAATTCATTTGAGTCAAAAGTCCTATTTTCATTTATGCTTATTCAATATTTCTTAACGCACACACGCACACATACATTATACAAAGAGAAGAAAGTCGATAGCACAGAACTCTATAACAATTTAAAAGCATTATCTAAAGAGAAAATCCTTCACAATTTGGTCGATGAAGAAAGAACTCTTATCTCGTTTTCGCTCAGGTCAGTGAAAGGTTCTCAGCAATATTAGAAAACTGGCTCACAAAACTTGGAAAGGAGCCCAGTTTAACGTTTGATGGTTCGGTAGACTGACCAGTCAGCATTGGGAGAATTGAAAGTCGGCCAAGTGATTGGTAAGACATTTTTACATCGACTACAAGACATTGGTAAGGCATTTTTACATCGACTAAGTGAAATCACTAAGGAAACGAAAACAAAAATTAAAAAGAAAAGGAGGATAAAACTGAAACAGTACGAAAATTAATACATTTAACAGTTTATTTTTTAATTGATAAAAAGAAAAAAAACACAACTGTTACGCCATTTTAAAGTCTTCAGTTCATATATATATATATATATATATATATATATATATATATATATATATATATATATATATATCCTAGCAGTATAACTTGTCTTCGACCGGGTCTTTCATTACTAGGAACTTTCGCCGTTCAGTTGGAGCAGTTTAAGTTTAAAGTCAGCCCACCTGAAATCAGTATTAGTAACAACAATTGGGTGAAACTGAGGCAGATTCCCAAATAGGGGTTAATAATTTGAATGGGGGCTGGGTGGCCTGAAAAGGGTCGCTACTGCGTTCTCAATCTTGTTTCAGCCTCACGCACAGCGGCAATTGAAGAGTCGTTCCTCCTCAGCCGTTGTACCCTTTGATCATCATTTTCAGCGTCGCGCCCAGAAGCGTTCAGGTATGCTCTTCTGGAAAGCCGATGGCGACGTTGATCTTTGGAATCAGTGGCTCTGATTGAAGCATTCCGAGAAACATTATAAGTCAGGCAAACTGAACGTCCTAAAGGCGATTCATTATCTCTTATTTGGATGGCGGACCCGGCGGCAGCAATTTTGTGACCTAGGCAAGTTCTTTTCTTTGGTGGCATGTCTTAGGCAAGTATGAATTGTCAAATGGAATGTGTGGGCAAATACCAGAAGAGAACGCTGTAAAGCTACAGGGATCACTAAGCTCGAATAACTTTAGGAAAGGTTAGAAAAATAAATGTTGAGTAATAAAAAAGCAAGATTACTTATTACTACGGTAGATGCAATGCAAAAACTGGCAGGACAATAAAAAATTAAATTGGAAACGGCTATAAACGACAATGAAAGTAACCCTTTAAAAGTGTAATAGTAGGCTTTATGCAACGGTAAAGGTAACTTCACTTGAGAGAGATTGAATGTTTGGCTAAAAGGAGGGGAATGTGTAATTTGGACTCAAAACTGGCACTGAAGAATTATCTATCACACACACACACACACACACACACACACACACATACACACACACACACACACACACAAATTAACAAAATCGGATGAAAACCGTGGAAAGGCATAAACAACATCCGATCACACACACATACATACGCATTTTGAGAATTATAGATATAGACAATATTATTGTAATAATTTAAGGTATTTATTTTTATTAAAGTTTTTTATGAAATATATATATCCAAGAACAGATAGTAAACAGTGAAACATTGCTGAGAGTTATAATGAACAGGAAGTAGTGGAGAGCCATTGTCGCCGAAATTTGGACTCAAAACCGGCACCGAAAAATTATCTATCAAACAAAAAAATATCGAAATCGGATGAAAACTGTGGAAACGCATACACAACATCCGATCACACACACACACGCACATTCTGAGAATTATATATATATATATATCAGCATAAGATTAGTGTATACGGAATAAATTCCAATAACCAAAAAATACTATTCTTAAAAGAGTCATCAATACAGAGTAGAGCAAATATAATGTATTCGAAAATTATAACATAAATATGTTATAAAATCATTATAAAAATAGCCATTTTGTTTCAACACTTCTGGTGTCTTGGTATTGAATGTAGAATAAAGGGTTTCAAAAGAATCAAATCAGCCAAACCTTTCGATTTGAACCTTTTGAAACACTTTATTCTACATTCAACACCATCACTTGATAAGACACCAGAAGTGTTGAAACAAAATATCCACAAATTTCTTGATAGACGTAGAAATTTGATTAAGAAAAATACTAACATTATCTATCGAATAGTTTTTATTTTACCAAGTACTTTCAGTAACATCTGAGACCATATTCAGGGCGTCTATATATATATATATATATATATAAGTAACGAAAATCTTTGTGATCCGTATGGATAATCCCAAGGAGGATGAAATTCTGAGAGCTCAATGTTAAGTTAGAGCGATTAAATTAATATATATATATATATATATATATATATATATATATATATATATATATATATGGTGTTTCAAAAAGAATACGCCAAAATCATCACGTGATGTATCAAAAACGAAAAGAATTACAAACTTCTAGCATGAACACATCTATTGTATATACATTCAAGTTTCATTTCATGTGTATAAGTGCTCAATGTGGCCACCACCGCCAGCGCGGACAACATCAAGCCGATATGAGATTTCCTCCCAAACGCGCCTCAGCATGTCACGGTCCACCGTGTTGATTGCAGCTGTTATTCGATTTTTCAAGTCATTGATACTTGCTGGAAGTTCTGGAACATAAACTTAGTCTTTAACAGACCCACACAAGAAAAAGTCACACACAGTGAGGTCCGGGGATCTGGCAGGCCAAGCACAGAGAGCAAGGTCTTTAGCACCTCTCCTCCCAATGCATCGCTGAGGCACGTTTTCATTTAGATAAGCTCTAACCCCGAGATGCCAATGGGGTAGTGCTCCATCTTGCTGAAAAATGAAGTCTTTCGAATCTGCTTGCAGTAAAGTGAATAGCCATTTTTGGAGCATTTCGAGATAGGTTTGTTCTGTTTGTAGCTGCACCGGAAGTTATACTAACGACAGCGGTGAAACTGACACCCAATCAAACTTTGATAACTACTCTATCAAATAACCACTGATTCAGTCCACTACAATGCTATAGACCTGAAAAAACAGCGTAATGATTGTGGCGTATTCTTTTTTGAAACACTATATATATATATATATATATATATATATATATATATATATATATATATATATATATATATATATATATATATAATACAGGTAATAGATCTGTTGGTAAATAATCCAGGTGGAACCTAGTCATATCAGATATTAAAACTGATCTACAGAGAGAGCTCAATGGATTTATTATAACAGAGCATATTTTTTAATACAACAAAAAATCAAAAATTAACTTATGTGGGTATATTCCTGTTTCAGACCGCACTGCAAGGAAGACCGGACTAAGGCAGTGCTGGTCTGAAATAGACTATATGCACATTCTTTGCTGTATAAAATATATATATATATATATATATATATATATATGTTTGTGTGTGTGAGTGTGTGTGTGCGTGTATGTATGTGTGTATATGCGTGTGGGTGAATGTGTTCCCGAGAGGCTAATATTTTATAATTGCGATCAATTTGCATGCAAGTATAGTGGTGAGTATTTGAGTGTTCAGTTCCAGCCTACTCTAATAAAGCGAGTAAATAAAAATGCTTATAAAATGAATAATGACATTATTCTGCATTTATAAATGTGGTCAATAGCATTATCCGCAAAAGAAAAATGACAGAATATGCACCTTAACGTAAAAAAAAAAAGCATCTATAATATATACTGGGACAAAATGTCAAGGAGAGTCTTAATATGAGCAAAAACTTCTGTCAATAATGGTCGACAGGTTTTGCCAAAATGTTTTAATTTGTAATATACACCCCCCCCAAAAAAAGAAAATCATGATATGCACGTAAAGTTACGCCCGCTAAAGCGGCAAAATGGCTACAAGTCTTATTCGATTGATCGTATTGATTATGAAAGAACGGGATCGAGCATATGTTGCAGTGCGTCTTTGTTATACAAATTCATTGCAAATGGACGGCAGTTTGTAGTGAGCGAAAAGGGCACTTCGACTTGGTACAAGCTTGTCCCGGAATATCAATTACGATAGAGTACTGAGTTCGATCCTCACTACCTTCCGCATACATTTCACCTTGTGCCACGTCTAAGCTTCGCTTAGTAAGTCTCAAGAGATTAAACGGGCACGCTAGATCAATTACGATTCAGTAGTGACTTCGATCCTTGCTGGATGATCCATACCTTCGGCATTGTGCCACATCTAAGCTAGGCTCAGTAAATCGTTATAGA